CGACGCTCAGGCAGCTGCGATTTTTTACATTTTCTAATATAAACACGCGTGACTCTTTGTAAGTCGCGATGAAAATTGGGCGGGCGCCCCGCTGTTGGCAGTCAGTGAGACGAATTCACGCTAATCAACGCGTCGGCAATTACAATACTATTAAATACGGTCCCGCCGCTCAAAGATCGTATATCATAATTTGCAGCAAATTGTGCACTTGCAGCGCGAAGCGCATTTTGCGAAATTCATTGGACGTCCGTGACACATATAGGACAGGACGTCCCGTGGCTCCAGAGAAGTCGGTTGATAATAATGCGTATACGTTATTTATCGGGGTAAAAGATATTCCGTAATATCTTGTCGTTTTTCATTTTTCACGTTGTTTAATCCCCTATGCGGAACGCCAAAGAACAAGACTCATCTATGTAGACGGGGAGTTATTAATTTTCGTGTGACCCATACGAACGATGATGAATGTACATCTTTTAAAGCATTCGTTCGCTTTCGTCGTGCGAGCCGGCTTCTCGAAATAACGCGACTCGTTCCGACTCGTTCCCTCGAGGAAATACGTATCGACGTATGGCCGTAGGGTGTCCTAACGCGCGACAAGCCGCCCTTTCTCCGTCCCGCTCCCGGTTTCCAAGTGGTGGCGCGGGGCGCGGCGGCGGGACGACGGAAGTGAGCGATACGGCGGGCGGCATTCGCAATTTACAGCGGCGCAAAACGATTTCGTGAAGCGAGGAGAAACGTCGACTGGTGACCGCCGCGTATGGATCGAGCTTTAGAGGAATTGGCCGCGCGCGCGGATCTCTTTGTGCTACGCGAGGGCCGGAGGGCCGGCTTCTTCCTTCTCTCCTCCGGACGGCCTCTGCTGATACCCTCGTCCCCGAGCCCGACCGCCCCCTCATCGCCACCGCGCTCTGCCTTCCCTTTCCCGTCCTCCGCCTCCGTCGTCCTGTCCTCACGGCGAGTCATCTCGTTTAGGTCGTGCTGGCGGCGACGGCGGCGGCGGCGGCGGCGAGGAGGGCCGCGAAAAGGGGCTGGGTGATGCCAGGCAGCCGAGGGGAAAGGTTCGGTGAGCCAAGGAACGAACGAGGAGAGGAACCGAGAAGAGGCGACAGGGTCGAGGGAGAGTAGCTGCGGGACAGAAGGATATATAGCTGTGTATTATGTACTTGGATCCGCGCGTTACA